TGTAGGGCCTGCCCTTGACTACAAGATGATGTTGACAGTACTTTCCTTGGCACTTGAAGCAATGCCCAACCCTGACTTTCTGCTGTCTTTATTCAACGTACATTTATTGAGACTTACTATGTGCTAGGCATTGAGGATACACTTATGAGCCAAAAGACATACTAGTCCCTGCTGGTGAGGAGAGACAATGAGAACATCAGCAAACATTGAGTATAAACCAGGAAAGTGTTGCAAAGTACAGATGCCTCCACCACAGACAGTATTCTTCTCTGGCCAGTCCTGTTTCTGCCTCTCAGTTCCTTGTCTTCCTCTGGACTCCAGATGGAAGTGTTCCTCAAGGCTCCACCCCAGGCACCTCTCTTTGCTTTTCAACAAGGACGCTCTCCTTGACAGTCCCATCCTCCTCTCGGGCTTCAACTGGAACCTCTTGAAGCAGGCATTTTAAACCAATCACTTCCTGCCACACATCTCACATACCCCAAACTCTACAGACTTCAATCTCCCTTTTCTGCAGTCCATAAATAGACAACTCTCAATCCTGAAAAGTGAAAGTCACTCAGTCATTTCCAGCTGTTTGCGACCCCATGCACTGTAGCCGGCCAGGCTCCTCTGTCCATGGGATTCTCCAGGCAAGAATACTGGGGTGGGTAGCCATTCCCTTCTCCAAGGGATCCCGATTCTGGGATCAAAGGCAGGTCTCCTGAATTGCAGGCAGATTCTTTACCATCTGAGCCATCAGGGAAACCCACTCTCAATCCTAACAACACACAAATCTTATCTTCCCCCTTAATCCTCTACTGATACTGTTAGTAGCATCCCTCTCCTGCTCACAGGCTGAGTCTCACCTCTCTCCAGTTCCCCAGGGTCCCAGATTTGGTCACAGAACCATCCCTGAAAGCCACCAACATCTTCCATCCGCCTCCTTCTGGCATTTAAGGTTCTAGGGTCCTGGATCCAAATGATCTTCCAGCCTCACTGCCTCAATCTGCCAACACTTCAGCTCCAGGCAAAGTTGGTTGCTCTGACTCTCCTCAGAGCATTCCTTCTATGAGGCTGCTCTGACCCTGCCCCCAGGCACACATCCTCAAGTCTATTTCTGTTATCAGTAAATATCAGAGGTGACAGTATCATGCAGCCATTGATGGATGGTAAGGCCATGCAGCAAACTGGATGAAGTGAGATCCAGTTTTCAAACTGGATAAAAACTTGTGAGATCATATTATACAATAAAAGCAAGATGCAAAATTGTCTGTAAACAGGTTTTTAAAAAAATAATTATCCAGATAAAAATATATAAGGAATACATCAAAATGACAAAAATAATATTAGAGTGGTGGAATTTTGGATGAGTTTTTTTCATTTTTCTAGATTCTAAATTATATTTAGTGTGGTTTTTAAAATATGTGTATATTTCAGGACTTCCCTGGAGGTCCAGTGGTTAAGATTCTGCGCTTCCCCGGCAAGGGGTGGGGGTTCTATCCCTCATCAGGGAAATAAGATTCCACATGCTGTGCAGCACAACCAAAAAAAAAGTAAATTAAAAAAATATATATTATACATGTGTGTGTATGTATGTTTCAAAATAGTTTTAGATCTACAGAAAATTTGAGAAGATAATATAGAGCATTCCTATATACCCTACAGTGGTTTCCCTTATTAGCAACATCGTATATTAGTATCACACTAATAATAGCATATCAATATGGTATGGTATCAATATAATATCAATAATAACAATACCAATAATTTAATGTGGTTTTTAAAACTTAAAAAAATTATAGTTTTTGGTAACCAAATAACCAGCATAAACAGAGGAAAAAGTTATTTTTTCATAACCTCTAACTCCAACTTGGCATCCTCACCGTTACTGATTTTCTTACTATCGCAGTCTCCTTTGGCACGGATTCTTAACTAAAAACTGAAACAGATTTTGCTCTGCTATCATTTGCCATACATGTGTGCATGTAGTTAAAATTTTATTATTTGATTTAAAGACTCTGGGAAATATTTTCTATAAACATAAAGAACCATGAAAAAATTTTTAAACAGATGAACCAGAGCCACATCCAGAATCTAATGCTGCGTACACCGCTGTTCAACAAGCCTAGAAGTTCTGCTTGGGTCTGGTCTCCTCCCTACTCCCCCCACCGCCTCAACCCCCACCCTGAGTATTGCACGTCTAAGAATACCCAGGCTCAGGACACAGACTCGGTAAGTACCAGCTGTAACAAACTGGACAAGTAGGATGATTCTAATTGATGGGGGTATTGATTTCAAATTACTAAAAGAAAAGGATTCTTGATGAAATTTTATGAGACGTCAGTTTTCTATTTTTGACAAACAGGACATCACAATGTTTTCCCTTGGCATCATTCAAAAAAGCTGGTTAAAATTAGATCTTACATAGAAATGGATTTTAGTTTATAAATTAGAAAAATCACCTGCCTCCTTAGTGCAGTAGGCAGCGCGTCAGTCTCATAAATTAGAAAAATCGAAGAAACAGCAAATGATAAATATTCTAAAGAATGTATTTTCAACTTGCTTTTAAAGTCTGAGCTACAGAAAATGAAGTGTTGTTGTGTTTTTTTTAAACATTTCTCCCCTAGTGAGTTTTCTTTGTTCTAACCGCCAAGTTAGTTTCAAAGATTCTTTCTGGATACCTAGCGGTTAGAACAAGTCCTACAGATTATGCAAAGAAATAACCAACTGAAGTGGTAGGTACAGTGCTACTTTTTATAGGAATATATGACAGCCTGTTTTAAAACAGAACTTAAATAAAAATCCCAAGTAGGTCCCCCGCTTTTTTAGGGGTGGGGGACCTTCCCAGGTGGTTCAGTGGGTAAAGAATCTGCCTACAATCCAGGAGACACAGGCAGATACGAGCTTGATCCTCAGGTCGGGAAGACCCACTCCAGTATTCCTGCCTGGAAAATCCCATGGAGAGAGGAGCCTGGTGGGCTACAGTCCATAGGGTCGCAGAGTCGGACTCAACTAAAGTGACTGAGCACGCACCCTGCTTTTTTTAGTTGAAAAATCTTTTTCCATCTTTGAAGATAATCTATACTTGATCAAACCAGAACTATAATACTAAAATTAGAAAATATACTGAACAGTGTCCTAAAGCATATTCTGTATCTAATCTTATATGATTTTGGAAAAGCCCTAAAACTAAACAAACAACATAACATTCTTGTATCTTGTCGCAAAAAAATGTGAGGAGCAAAACTTTAAGTAAATTAAGGATTGCAAGAAAGGAAAAACTTATACTAAGTTTTCAGTGAATCTAAAGTTCACTAAAATAGTTGAAATTCAATCACTGTCGAAGTCCAGAATCAGGTTATAATTCCAAGGAAAATGCTGAGTATCAGGATTAATAAATAAGAAAATGGTATCCCTAGTTGGCAACTAAAGACTGCCAAGTTAAAGTTAGAAGTAGCACCACTGACAATTTTCAAGAGAACTGTGTTTATGGTTAAAATTGCTTATCTTATCAACTACTGTATAAATCTGCTTTATGACAAAAGTGACTTGATTATCTAAGAATATCACTATTATTGATTTATTACTGACTGATGCTTTAATAGTAAGACTGAAAAAAAAAAAAAAACGTTAATCACTCAGTCATGTTCGACTCTGCAACCCCATGGACCATAGCCTGCCAGACTCCTCTGTCCATAGGATTCTCCGGGCCAGGCAAGGTTCAAATCAGTCTTGTTAAAAATTAACTTGGTATTACAGAGAAAGCAGGACCCAGCCAGTCTGTCTTGAGGCAAGACACCCTTTTTGAGACTTTTAATGTCCTAACTATAGCTAGGCGGATGTGAGGAATTGTGTAGTTTTGCTAATGAGCTTTGAATGAGTAAACGGAGATAGCCTGGAAAGTATCAGAAGTAACTGAAGCACCTGCTGACCCAAAGAAGCTTCTGGAAGGATGTACAGTAAGTCCCCTATATACAAACCTTCAAGTTGAGAACTTTCAAAGATGTGAATGTGCGTTCACATGTGCAATCACACAAATCAGGTCACGTATCTGGTGTACATTGTCACGTGTGTGCATCCTCTACAAGCGGTTGTGCGTTTGCGTACTTTACTGTACACTACTGTATACAGTCAGTAGTACAGTACCTTTATGTCAAGCCCAGGATGTCTGGGACCGAACGTAAAAGCAGCGGTGATGTAGCTGGTAGTGCTAAGAAGCACCAGCTGCCGTACTATACACTACAGTACTTTTCAAAGTACTATACTGTAGGGTTAAAAATGTTTTATTTTTCAGGTTTGCTTTGTTATATATCATCTGTGTGAAAAGTATTATAAAACTATTACAGTACAGTACTATATAGCCAATTATGTTACTTGGGTACCTAGGCTAACTTTGCTGGACTTATGAACAAATCAGACTTACAAACTGCTCTCAGAACAGACCTCATTCCTATGTAGGGGACTTACTGTCCCTTGCAAGGTGAACAGTAGAAGGTGCCAAGTGATTTTCAACCTTTTGGTACATTTTGTCAGATCTGAAGTTTAAGATAACAAGCACTCTTTTAAAAGCAGAAAACGACAGCTGTATTTTGTAAAAGGACAATTAAAATAATACATTAAAACTTGGTATCTGAATGAAGTAAAAGTTTTATAAAACATTACAAAAATGTCTTGAAACTACCCAGAAACGTTGAGGCTTTAAGAAAAAGTTCCCATCCAGTGCATACCAACAACGGGCAAAAGAAAGCAACTTTCCTTTCTAACTCAATAACACTGATGGCCTATTTTTGGCATATGGATAAGTATTTATTTCAAAGAGTAGATTAAAGCTACCCAGTTACTAAAAGTAACAGAAGTTATACAGATACACCACATTACTGGGATGCTTAAAGATCATTTCCAAACTTATTATCCAAAAATCCTGTTCTTTATTTTTAAAGCTCTAGAAGATAATTACTAAGTAAATTCTAGTTGGATTAGCATATGCCTAGGGGTAAAAATATAACTGACATTATTCTTACCTGGTGCTGCACATCGGAATTTGCTGGGCAGTTCAAAGTAATTGGATCACACTCCTCTTCTATGTATTAAAAAAAAAAAAAAAGATGCTAAGCTTGATGAAGAAAGCACATGCTCTGCAGTATAAGGCCTAAAATGAAGACTTAATATTACGTTCTGTTTACGTCTGGTAAAACCAGGAGGACCTTGAGTGGCCCAGCTACAAGTTCCCCTCCTCGCTCTGCTCCTGTGGACAAGACCCCAGCTAAATAGGTCTCCTTCTTGAGGGGATCAGGCACAGTCCTTGCTCATCCCAGGGCGGTGGGGGTTCCCTGCCAGACCACTGACTTATTCAGACAGTTACATCCTTCCCCAGGAGCCCTGGGGCACACCCCCGCTCACAGGAGAGCCTCGTCACCCGCAGCCCCTGGCGTTCACTCTGTCCCCAGGCGCAGCCCCGGTATGGCCCTGCATGGCGGGCACCATCGTCCTCCCCCAGGCCACGAGGCTCCGTGACTCATAAGCTGCTGTCAGACTCAGCTGCCCGCATGTCCTGTGCGTGGCCATCCTCATAACCCCAGGGCAGGACCCCTCCCTGGCAACGCAGGGAGCAGGAGGTGGTTCAAACTTTCCCCTCTGATAATCTGACATCAGATTCCAGGTGTTGGCTGTCTGACTGACAGTTTACTAAGCCCTTCAGAGAGCAGGGAGTGGGATTATACTTATCTTGATAGCTCAGCCTCCTAAAAGTCAAACCAAAACCATTTCAGTTCTAAAGTGGGGATTGCCAGTGAAAGTCAAAGGAACATGACAGACATGTGAAATGTCTAACACCTCTCAGAATTAACTGTGAGGAAGGAAATTCCATTCTTACGCTGTCTTACATATGTGTTAATGTCACAGCTCCCCAGTTTGTGGTGAAGACAAATACATTAAAAGCTGATCTGGGGGACTTCCCTGGTGGTCCAGTGGTTAAGATTCTGCACTTGCACTGCAAGGGGCACAGGCTCCTTCCCTGGTCAGGGAACTAAGATCCCACATGTCGTGTGGTATGGCAAAAAAAAAAAAGCTGAATTTTTCCATTAGATTTTACTCTTTAACCATAGAATTCAGTATCACACTAACCTTGAAAGCTGACAGAAATATAGTATACTATGAAACAAATGTTTAGTGGCATGTAAAATTTTAGAGTTATAAAGCCTTACACAAAGAATCACTTAACTCAGGGTTCAAAAGTTAGGACTGAATGACAGATTGATTGATTCATCCATTATTTATTTTTACATTCTGTAACATGCATTGACCTACTATAGACTGAGCTGATAGATCTGTTCATGTAAGGGGCTATATTTATTGCTGCCTACACGATTCTGACTAAAAGGTCATTTTTCTTTAATATTATTATCTGCGAAATTTAAACTAAAAGCACAGTCTTTTACTAAGATTCCATATGGTATCTTTTTCTCTTTTAAATTTATTTGGCTGCACTGGTTCTTAGTTGCAGTATGCAGGCTCTTGAGTTGCAGCATGAGAGATCTAGTTCCCTAATCAGGGACAGAACTCGGCCCCTGGGCATTGGGAAGGCGGAGTCTTAGCCACTGGGCCACCAGGGAAATCCCTATACCATATCTTTCTAAACTGGAGCAATGGAGATCTCACCTAGGCTTGTGTTCCTCATGATACAGTTCCAGTTCTCTTGCATGAGAATCATTTGACTGCCTGTTAACAATGCAGATTTCTGGGCTCCACCTCTAGACTTTCTGGTTTGGAACTTCAGGGAGTCCAGAAACCTGACACCTAACAAGCACCCCATAGAATTCAGATGCATACTAAAGTGATTTTTCAGTGACAGACATTTGATTTCGGTCATAATAATTCTCACAATGGCCATGCGTGCTGTGCATGCTCAGATGCTTCAGTCGTGTCCAACTCTATGTGACCCTTTGCACTGTAGCCTGCCAGGTCCATGGGATTCTCCAGGCAAGAATACCAGAGTGGATTGTCATGCCCTTCCTTCTCCAGGAGATCTTCCCAACCCAGGGATCAAACCCATGTCTCTTATGTCTCCTGCATTGGCAGGTGGGCTCTCTACCACTAGCACCACCTGGGAAGCCCCTCACAATGACCAGCGTCATCACTGTTACCAGAGCATTTTTGAAAAGGCAGGGCTTTTTATTTCCCAACACAATGTTAACTTGAAATTAAAAAGCAACTTTTCTTACATGGCCTCCCACACACTCCTGTGGTCATATCCTTCTCCCTCCCATCCACCCTCCAGTAAAGAAAAGTTTCACAGAATGGTCACCTTTGTATTTGTGTTATAATTTGGGGGAACGGATTTAACTTTTGGTTTGCTATAACAGGAGACTGCCAAGAGTCTGGGTCAAGGTTGGGTGGGGAGGCAGTGAGCTGGTGGAATGAGTGGGACCAGGTAACATCATATCATGCAGACAAGAGAGGTTTTTAGTTTCATTTTAAAACAATAGCAAAATACCATCAATCAATCGGCAAAATGAGAAATCATATAAAATACAATACATTGCCTTGCTATTTTGGGGGCAGACATTTTTATTGGGTTGGCCACAAAATTCGTTTGGGTTTTTCTGTTACAGCCTATGGAAAAACCTTAACAAACTTACTGGCCAGCCCAACACTTCCAAATTATCTTAGTGATTTCCTCAGTACTTGTTTATTTTTTCCTAATTTTTCCAAAATGAACTACTACATTCCGTCAACAAATTTTTCCAAATATCACCCATGTTGAAGTTCAAAGTACACAAAGTTATTAACAATAAAATCAGTCTATTTCTCTTTCACTTTACATTTGCTATATAATTTTTTTGAACAATGAAAGTCAGAGAAAATGAAGGTGATAAAATTTTGATAAAATCAGATATATTTTTGTGCAATTTCCCCTCACTAGGAATAGCAGCTGTGGAGAAGGAAATGGCACCCACTCCAGTACTCTTGCCTGGAAAATTCCATGGACTGAGGAACCTGGTAGGCTACAGTCCATGGGCTCGCAAAGAGTTGGACACGACTGAGCGACTTCACTTCAGGAATAGCAGCTGAAATATCAGAATTCTTTTTCAAAAGACATTTTTCTCTCAAAATGTGAAGAGCCACATTCCCTCTAGAATCCTCAAGCCAGTATAGGAATTCATGAAATAAAGTGAACCCCCATCTAAATGAGTCCTGAGTTTGGTGCCTAAAGACTCTCACAGAAAACCTGTAACAGACACTTGACATAATGAACTGCCTGAAATCTCTAAAATCAGGGGAGGCAGAAGCTACACATTTGTTCCTAAGAAAACAAGTATTATAACGTGTTTTACCTCAAAAATATGCTGATCATTGAAATTACACTAGATGCCTACAGTTGATTTATGGTAAAAAGCACAAAATTCAGACCCATTTTTGTTTGGACCATGTTGAGGAACAGCGTTATATTGTCCATGGGGAAACTAGGAATATACTAGAATTAGAATGAAGATTTTGTGAAACATGTTTCTTTTCTTAAGAAAATATATTTTGAGGACTTTTTAATCATATGAAAATGGTTCAAGCTAATTACAAATGACTCCTCTATTAAATATAGTGAAAGAAAGTAAAGTGAAAGTGAAGTTGCTCAGTCGTGTCCTACTCTTTGCGACCCCATGGACTGTAGCCCACCAGGCTCCTCTGTCCATGGGATTCTCCAGGCAAGAGTACTGGAGTGGGTTACCATTTCCTTCTCCAGGGGATCTTCCCAACCCAGGGATCGAACCCGGGTCTCCCTCATTGGAGGCAGACACTTTAACCTCTGAGCACCAGGGAAGCCCCATTAAATATAGTAGCCCCTAGAATTCACTTATGTGTCAGAGTCTGAATCTGTACTTATAATATAATTCTATTACATTTACTTTTAATCTATAAATTAGTCTCTTCATTAATTTATGTGGGCTTTGTGTTCCTAAAAACAATGAGAAAATAACCATAATCATTTAATACTGAAATTGGCTCCATTATGGTCTGTTTAACAAAATACTGCAGACGTTAAATTGTTGTATTATCAAATGCAAATGTTGGAGTAAGTTTTCAAACTTCTGGACATGGTTCATTACATTTAAGATCATGTATTTCTTGGAGAAAAATTATGTGTTTAAATATGCTCTTCCACCCCATGAATAAAGACAGAGGAAGGTCTAGAGTATGGTTTTTAACAGTCATGTCACTTGTCAACTCACCACCATTTCAATTGAGGTTTTGTAAAACTTAAATTATTGAAGAAACAGTTATTGTACAGTTACTGTATTATCAGGCTGCTAAGCAACAATCTTTTTCTCTTAAAACAGGAAATCACATTCAAGATGATAAAAAAAAAAAAAGATTTCAGATGGATCAGACTGTGGCAATGCATTCCCAGAGTCACTGTGGCTCGATCTGTGCTTAAAACAGTGGTTCCACTCTCACCTCTGCTACGAGAGCTTCCCACAGTCCTCAACCCTGACTGATCACGGCTCTCTTGCCACACTTCCCTCCTCCCTGTCTGAAGATCCTGGGTGCCAGGCGCTATTCTTGTGTTTGATTCTCACGAGCACCCTGGGAGGCGGCATCTACCTTGTCCTAAGCTGCTGAGTCCTCTCAGAGCTGGCAAGGTTTGTCAGCCGGTTCTCTCCCACATGTCCCATTGGAGGGTACACCACATTCTTGAAGCTTCCTGGGAAGGCTCTCAAAGGGAGGTCTGAGACCCACTCACTCAGGTACGCATTAAAACGCAGGTTTCAATCCTAATCTCCCACGTGTCTCACCCGCCCCGACCACACTACCACGTGTAAAATAAACAGCTAGCGGGGAACCTGCAGTACAGCACAAGGAACTCAGATCAGCGCTTTGCGATGCCCTAGATGGGTGGGATGGGGTGGTTTGGGAGGGAGGTTCAAGGGGGAGAGGATGTATGTACACACACGGCTGATTTGATTCATTGTGCAGCAGGAACTAATCCAACATTGTAAAGAATTATTCTCCAATTAAAAAAACAACAAACAAGTGAAAAACAAGAAAACCCTACAGGTCTCTGGGCCTGATCCTAGACCCATCACATGATGATTTTGGAGAAGCAGGGCCCAGAATCTGCATTTTAAACTAGCTCCCCAGATAATCCTTCACTGTACCCTCCCTGAAGTCCAATGGATACTACCCAGGACAGTTTCTTATCTACACTGGTGTCCTGGCCTGCACCTCCCACTTTCTTGCTGAACTAGACAGTCACAGGGTGGGGAATTCAGGATGCTGAGAAGTCAATTAGAGAGAAGGGGAAGGGAAAGGAAACATGCAGGAAGCCAGCCTCCCCTGGAACCACCAGGAATCGGGCTCAAAGTTGGCCTTCAGGCTCTTTTCCCTATACTGTTGCCACTCCTGGGTGAAACTGTACTGATGCCATTTCCGGAAGCAGGGAGCGGAGTCTGGTGAGTAGAGAATGAGAGAAGGGGACTCAGTAGAACCACAGACTTAACCACAGATGGATCCTGGCAGGGAGCTCCCTTCCGACCTGCAGTCTGGTAGTCCTGTGATATTCATCACCAGAAGGAGGTTGGGGAAACCCACAGCAGGCTGTGCTGGGAAGTCCTCTCTCTCCAGGAAGCCGGGGAGGCCCTGCCAACTCTGATGCAGGTCAGATCTGCTTGCTCCCCATCCCACCCCTTCACCCTGGGTTGTCAGCAGAACATAAGGTTAAGTGCTCCATTGTGAAGGCCACCAGCTCATTCTTCTTACTGGATACAGCCTTACAGACTGTAGCCTTGGACAGGCTCAGGCTCCTTTCAGATGTATCTGCACCACATCTGAGATGTTAATCTGTGGATCATGAAAGAAAGCTCTTTTTGCTTTGGGACCTGACAATCATCCCCTTCCCCTTGTCTGGCAGTGGAACCTGTGGTTTGAGTAGAACTGTCTCCATGCCCTCCACACCCACCCTCTAACCTCGAGGCTCAGACCTGGTCAGCCCTCCATCCTCCTGATGACCACAGTCGATATGATCGCCACATGACCAAGCTGCTCCTGCCACCACTGCCCCTAAAACCGAGCCGTGTGTGCTGGGGGAAAGGCTCCCTCTTGTTCCACCGTCATAAGCAGCACCAAGTGAAGCTGGAGGCGGCAGAGACCATCTTTCCCACCTCATGGGGAAAACTGGCCGAGAACTGAGTCAACACAGAAGACTGAGCCATGAGAGTCAGAGAGAGGGGTGGGGAGAGGGAGAAGAAGAAAAAGGAGATGAGGAAAAGAAAAAGAGAGGGAGAGAGAGAGAGCCTGAGACACCATTTTTTTTTTTTTTTAATATTTATTTGACTGTGTTGGGTCTTAGTTGCAGTATGCAGGATCTTTGTTGAATCATGTGGAATCTTTCATTATGGCCCACAGACTCTCTAGCTGTGGTGTGTGAGCTCAGTAGTTGCAGTACACAGGCTTAGTTACTCCACGGCATGTGGGATCTTAGTTCCCTGACCAGGGATCATACCCATGTCCCCTGAATGGCAAGGTAGATTCTTTTTTTTTTGAGACACCATTTTAAATGTTTGGATTTAACAGACTCAAAGACTCTAAACCACCAAATTCTTCCCCTCCCCTTTTTTGTTTTTATTGGTTTGGGGCCATATCATGCAGCATGCAGGACCTTAGTTCCCCAACCAGGGATCAAACCTGTGCCCCCTGCATTGTAAGTTCAGGGTCTTAACCACTGGACTGCCAGGGAAGTCCCTGCCCAGCCCCCCCACCTCACCTTTTAAAACTAATTTGAGTTATATTTCTGTCACTTGCAACCCACAGTCCTGGTTGTCCTCATTTTAACCATGCTAAAAACACCATAGGAACTTGATGTATCATTTGATCTAAAATCATTTCTAGATTTTAATAAGAAAATTCATGCTACAGATGATCAAATCAGGCACTAAATTATCAGTATGTTTCTGTTCTACAATTTTAACAAATGAAAAATTACTGACTAGTGCTTTGTTCAGGATAGGAGAATAATCACAAGCACACGTTGTTGCATTAACTGTACATACCTTTAGGGAGTCCTGTGTCTTGAATGGGATACTTGTCTGACTGCAGAAACCAACAAAAGGGGAAAGTTATTTTTTTAAACACTGTAGTCAATTATAAGATCAAAGTGAAAAGAAAGCTTTGTCTTGGGAAAGTCATGATTTTCATTTAAAATCTTGCAAGTTTTTAGCCTTGAATTTATCCATAGGCCTGACCCGTGGCTTATTCTCAGTTTTAAAGAGATGAAATCAAATTTGATGAGACGTCAGTGCTGGAATATGAAACGGAATAAGCCTTCAGCTCTGACCATAAACCACACTTCCTCTCTTGTCTGCAGTGTTATTTTACTCTCTGCAGCTCAAAACTGAGGGACCGTCATCTCTTTTCTCACCACTTCTGTGACATGCATTTGGGTCAATAAGCATGTATTCTGGGCAGCTCTCACAACTGGAGAGCTCTGTCCTGGGTTGACAAGATTGAAAAGGTAACTATCCCGTAAGTTGCATGAAGATCAGTCACCTATTATGCACAGTTATGCACAGTTCCTCAATGCTTTCCTTGAAGGCAGTATTGTCACAGGGAATTCAAAATAGCAAATGCTCTTGCAATCATGTATTTCTTTGTTGGTCCTGATAAATATGCAAGTATCTAAGCTTCTGGAAACTTCTGCTTCAGATTACACAATGTAGTTGTTTTCCAAAGATTTCTATGAGAGAAGCTTGAATGTGCCCAATTTCCCTAGCCTGCCTCTGACCCCGCCTCAGTTCCACCATCATCTCCTCTGGGCCTTTGGGTCCATGGCTCTCCAGCTTAAACAAAGCTGCACCTCCCAACTCTCCTGTATGTCTCACCACTGTCTTCCTTGGACAGAGGAGGAAAAGAAACAAATGCAGCACCAGGGATTCTTTTTGTAAGGGAAAAAAAACTGAGTTTATTAACATTATTAAGCTTTGAAATTAACATGACTTCCTTAACATAGTCCAATATTCTATGGAGGTTTGAGTTTACATGGTTGTCATCTATGTATTTAACTTTGCTTACTGATCAGTAGTTAAAGGAAGGCTGATATGCGGTATCACTCAGTATCCTTGAGGGGCTGATGCTAAGACCTTCCACGGATGCCAAACTTTGGATGCCCAAGTGGGATTTTAGTTCCCCAACCAGGGATGGAACCTGTGTCCCTTGCATTGGGATCAGGTAGTCTTAGCCACTGGGCCACCAGCAAAGTCCTATGCCATTTTATGGAAGGGACTTGGGCATCCAGGGATTCTGTTTTAAATGCCTTTCCTTGGAGTTTCTTTGGAGCAGAAGCCTCCAACCTCTTTCCACAAAAGAAACTAATCTTCTTTATGTTATAAATTCAACCTTTGAAGGGCCTGGGGTTTAAGGTCAGACACACTGGGAGTCAAGCACGTCTACACAGCTGAGCCCCAAGAACACTTTGGACACCAGCGGCTGGATGAGTCTCCTTGGTTGTCAGTAGTCTGTGTGTATCATCACACACCGTTACTGACACCAGTAAACACTGTCCGCACAGCGGAGAGGGGAACTGAAAACCACCTGCTCACAACTCTCCTGCGCCCTGACCTATGCTCCTCCTGCTTTGGCTGACTTTAATCTGAATCCTTTTGCTATAATACGCCACAGTCTTGAGTGGGAAAAAAATCAACATCAATCAGAAAGAACCTAAAAGTCAAACACTTTCCCCCCTGACTAAATCCTTCTCCATACTCTGCCCCCTAGAACGTGGAAAACACACCTGTACTATAGTACTTCTCAGACTCTTTTCAAAGTATTTTTCTCAGACTGTGAGTGTTTCAAGAGAAAGGACCATCCCAAGGTTTTGACTAAGTTCAGTCTACAAGAACGAACAAGTGTGGGTTTCCTGGACAGACTGACAGTTGAGCAGGCCTAGAGGATGCCCAGGACTCAGGACGGCCACTGCAGATGGTGGGCATAGAGGATCAAGGCCAGGTGGTTGGGAGACTGATGGGATCATCACATCATCACAGATGCTCCCATCAGTGGTGGGAGCAGAGACAATGCTGGGGGTGGAAAAGGAAGACACAGCTGGATATGAAATAATGGAGCCGGTTTCCATGGAAGACCCTGGAAGTGAGGTGAAGGGACTGAGGTGCCATCCTAGGATCTCAGGAAGCTTGACTCCCCAAACGCTGCTGCCTGCCTGGTGCCCACCTCTGCATACGGGAACATGGTCGGCACAGCCTTGCAGAAAGCCAGCCAAGCAAATCATCCCCACACAATAGCATAAGAAGTAGAGAAGACAACAGCCGAAGGCCCCAAGATACAGCAGAGAAGGCTTTCCAGGTACGGAATGCTTAAGTTGAGCGGCAGGGTGCATAGGCGCTCACTAGGTGAGGAAGTGGGCAAGGCCAGCATTAGGGGTATCCCAGGATGGCGAGAGGGCGTGGGGCACCCAAGGAGCAGCAAATAGCTACACATGACTAGGATGCTAAGACAAGGGGCCCTCATGTGCCATGTCAAGGACTGTAAATTTAATCCTGAAAGCAGCAGGAATGTTATGGTTGAAATCTGGGCACCCCCTGTACACGCTGAAGTCCTAACCCCCAGTCCCTCAGACTGTGACCCTATTGGAAATAGAGTCAGTGTAGACAGAATTAGTTGAGCGGAGGTCACACTGGTGTAGGGCTGGCCCTTCATCTAACGGGATGGACATTCTTGTAAGAAGAGAAGAGACACAGACGCCCAGGGAGAAGACGGCCATGTGCCACTGAAGGAAGAGAGCGGAGGGAGGCAGCTACAAGCCCAGGGACACCACGAACTGCCGACAACCACCAGAAGCCAGAAGGCACAAGGCAGGATCCTTCCCTACAGGTTTCAGAGGGAGCACAGCCCTTGATTTTTAGTCCATTTGTAGGACCTTGTCAGGCAGCCCAAGCAAACCAATACACGGAAGCTACAGTAAAGGCAACTGGTCCCGGAGTCTGAGAAGTACTATAGTACAGGTGTGTTTTCCACATTCTAGGGGGCAGAGTATGGGGAAGGATTTAGTCAGGGGGGAAAGTGTTTGACTTTTAGGTTCTTTCTGACTGATGTTTATTTTTTTCCCACTCAAGACTGTGGCGTATTATAGAGGAGTGAGGAGAGGCAGCCAGGACTCAAGGTGAGCCGTAAGGAGGGGGCCCCCGAGGAAGGGAGATGCTGGTGTCAGGGGATCGAGTGGACAGCAAGACAATCACAGGTCAGGCAGTGTGAAGGGCAAATTAAGTAACCCTTTTGCAGGGGTCCCCAACCTCTGGGATCTGATGCCTGATGATCTGAGGTGGAGCTGATGTAATAATAACAGAAAAAAAGTGCACAATAAATATAATGCACTTGAATCATCCCCAAACCATCCATCCCCACCTGGTCTGTGGAAAGTTTGTCTGCAATGAAACTGACCCTGGTGCCAAAAAAGTTGGGGAGTGCTGCTCTATAGAAGCCACGGCTTTAGTAAGAGGCTACACCCGAGAGGATCATAAGACCTGGCCACAGGGCCACTGTGTGCTCTGCTTCTACACGAGTTAGGAGCTGGAATTTTTTCATATTGGTAGTGTCTCAAAGTTTGATTTCCTACGCTGTCCACATTTGCTAGACTGTGCTGTAGTTATAATACGAGGCCATGAAAACATACATTTCAGGTCTCTAAGACATTAAGGTGCCTTGTGAATCACCCCCCCCCCTTTTTTTTTTTGCCTGTGCTGGGTCTTAGTAGAGGAGTGCAAGATCTAGTTCCCTGATCAGGGGTTGAACCCAGGCCCCCTGCATTGGGAGCATGGAGTCTGGTCCACCAGGGAAGTCTCCACCAAAGACTTAAAGACATTGAACTGAAATCCCTTGAGAATACTTATGCCATTCTAACTAAATTAATACAAATTCCTCATGACTCAATAGATCACATCCTCCAGACACTCTGAAAAACAGGAATGTATCTCACACTGCATGCATAGTAACACACACAATGCTGTCAAAGGCATTTATTTGGTCATAAGTAAGAGGCAGTGTCGAGTAAGGGAGCAGGGCTTCAGTCTGGCTGACTTTCTACAAAGCAGCTAAGTGCCATATCCTCATCTACAGGAGAACAATAAAGTCTTTTATCACAGCACACACAGCACAGAGTGGTTATGGGATGGTGGGGCAGGGACCTGAAGCCAGCTGGTGGGTTCGACTCCCACCTGGGCCGCTTCCAAGTTTGGCGACTTGCGTCGCTCCTTGTGCCTCAGTGTTTCAGCTATGAAGCAGGCAACGCCTACCTTTCTGGACTGTTTCAGGGGTAAAGGTGGTAATGGACGATGTATGCCCACCTACCTATGGGCAGCCCTCCATTACTGTAAGGTGTTCATATTTTTTCTTTCAATCCCAAGCTATATATTTTGATTTCTGAAGAACAGGGTCATTAAAAATAGATAGTATTAAAATTAGACAAGCAGAGACTTCTCTGGTGGTCCAGTGGTTAAGAACTCGCTTCCCAAGGGACACAGGTTCCATCCCTGGTGGGGGAACTAAGATTCCACATGCCACGTGGTGTGGCCAAAAAAAATAATAAATTTAAAATAAAAATAAATAAAAATACATAATTAAAAAGACAAGTAGATAAAGACCTCACATAATCTAAGAAGAACACTCCTGACATGTGCAAAATGAAAATAGAGTCTAACACCAATAACAAAGGGAGAAAAAAAAAAAAACAAAGCCACACCATTAATGTCAAATGAGTAACCTACCGTATTAAGGGATATAGTGCTAGGGTCTGTGTCTTCCACTGGTTCCTTTGCCAAATGATCTGTAAACAAAACACAATAAGAGAATTTTCTTTAACTTAAAAGCACAAATGTATCCTTTGATAACTGTCTTCATATAAATGCAAGCTGCCCCCGTCAGTTTGGAGAAAAACTTTCAATCATTAGTAGAGACAAAAAAGAAAGAATGGGTTCAGACTGCATCAAGAAAGTGATTAAGACAAACTACATTAAAAAAATTATATATATATATTATATATTATATATATTATATATTATATATATTATATTATATATATTATATTATATATATATTATATAATATATATATATATATAGTATATATATATATATATTTGGACAAATATATATATATTTGGACTTCCCTGGTGGTCCAGTGGTGAAGAGTCCATCTGCCAATGCAGAGAACACAGGTTTGATCCCTGGTCCTGGAAGATCTCACATGCCATGGGGCAACTAAGCTTGTGAGCCACAAGTGCTGAGCCCACATGCCCTAGAGCCTGCGCTCTCCAACAAGAGAAGCCACTGCAATGAGAAGCCTGGACACTACAACTAGACAGTATCCACTGCTTGCCACAATCCACTGTATCCACTGAAGGCCCACGAGCAGCAATGAAGATCCAGCGCAGCCAAAAATAAATAAATAATGTTAAAAAAAAAAAAAAACATGTTTTGTTAACAGTTTACTTATAAATGTCTACAAACACTCAGAGGTACAAATAACTACAAATGATGCAAACATGATATTAATGAATGACTCTTTTACACTTTGGATTTTGAGATAGACTGGGACCTGGGACTCTTTACTGCGGAGCTCACGCCTGACAAATATCTCCTTGAGCAACGGATACAAAGAAACTATAAGGGACTGAAAATATCTGTGTGCATGTGTAGTTGGGGCAAATTATGAACAGCATACAATAAGGAACACAAAAAGGGCACAAACCCACTGCCATTTCTGAGGCGCTGGGAACAAAGGCAGGGAACTGTAAACAAAGCTCCCAGCCTGGGAACCGTGGAGGTGGGCAGATCACTTAAGTCAGCGCTCTGCTCCATCCCCACCCTTGCCCCACTCAAGGAACTAGCCTGTCCTCTGTAGAGAGCAAGGGCACCTGTTTTCTTGTTTTCACTAAGAGTAAAGCTTTGCCTGAATTCCTCATCTGGCCTGTTATCAATCTCTATTGATTAAAAGGCAGAGAAGCCTTGTGTGCTGCAGTCCATGTGGTTGCAGACTCCAGAATGACTGAGTGACTGAATAACAACCATTGATTAAAGAGTCCAAGGACCCAGGTTGGCAACGATTTGATTATAACTTTGAGAGAGAAAATTAGAAAAAAGGCTCAGAGGTTTAAAGCGTCTGCCCGCAATGCAGGAGTCCCGGGTTCGATCCCTGGGTTGGGAAGATCCCCTGGAGAAGGAAATGGCAACCCACTCCAGTATTCTTGCTTGGAGAATCCCATGGAGGGAGGAGCCTGGTGGGCTACAGTCCACGGGGTCGCAAAGGGTCGGACACGACTGAGCGACTTTACTTTACTAGACACTTTAGGAAACATCTGCTGGAAAACTATCTTGCTCGATAACCATATCTGAGTGGGATCCTCAGTATTTGTGCAGTCAGCACACAAGCTGCAAAACCCTAAGTGGCAGCCTCAGACCAGTCAAGATTCAACTTTCATTTCTCTCCCAAATCATCATGAAGTACATAATGTGGCCCAGGTCCGAGGTCCCGGGAATGCCTTGGGGCATCCAGACAAACAGGCCAGGACAACCTATGGAGGTTTGTTCCTTCTCCCTACATGTCTTTCATTGAGACTGTGTCTGGACTTTTCACATTCCTCTCCCTGCGGGGTATTGACAATGCCCAAAGGAAAAGTCATGTGAAGGGAACATCTCTTTATCTGTTTTATGATAGGCTACAGTCAATGAAGAGATTAAAGGAGATGGCCCAGAGGAGTGGATGCAGACAGAGAGAGATCTTCCAGTGTTCCCCCATGGAGGAGGGGACAGACACCTGCAACTCCACAAGTAGGGACTGTGCCCTTGTCCCTGGCAGAGCCCACAGGTGGCAAGATCATATCACGGAATGCACAGAGGGGGCTGGCCCCTGGGTCCCAGGGTTCCCAGCCCCAGCAAAGAAACCCCATGATTTGGGTCTGGCACAGAAACAGAGGGCTCCTGGGTCCCAGAGTCTTCTCAGGCTTGGACCCTGATGCACAGAAAATTCCTAGTGCCACATCAGCCTCTTAGACTCCGGTATTACACTAAGGAAGGAGACCAGTTCAGAGTGAGATGGAATTTCCTGCCAGCCCAGCAGATGACAGACTCAGACTTGAGTTTAAATCGATATAAAGACAGTAAGAACAAACTGTGTTGCTAACCCCATTCTGAGTCTACAGAACTCCTGCTGCCCAAATAAGAGACAATTATAATACAGAGCACATGGTGTGAAGACAGCAGAAACGCAGAATGCCGTGGAAACACACGGGAGGAACAGAAGCCCGCTTGGGGTGCACGGTGGGGAGAGCAGAGCCTGCAGAGGAAGTGATTCCAGAGTCTGGAAGGCTGAGTTGAAGCCAGCCAGGAGAAAGAGTCAGGGAGGGGAAAGCATTCTGGACAGAGGGACCAGCATAGGCGAAGGCTGAGAGATGAAAAAGAACATGACACGCTAGTGGGCTTCAACGAGGTCCAGCCAGACACTTGCATTCGGTTTTCCCGCTCTGCTTTTCCATGCTTCTCACGCTCTGGCTCCTGGGTAGGGGGTGGGCAGTAGAAGACACATGGACGGCCTCCCGGCCTTTCTCCCCTCCTCCAGTTACCGCCGGGTCTCGGCCCTGCCATTTTCCCTAAAGTGTATCTGAATGACAATACCTTTTTTTTTTTTTTTGGCTGAGTGGCTTGTGGGATCTTAGTTCCCTGATCAGAGATCAAACCCATGCCCCCTGCACTAGAAGCAAGGGCTCAACCACGGGATGGCCACCTGGGATGACAACACTTCAAACGATTACCTCCACCATGGGTGCGGGATTTTAGCAGGTACCCTGCGCAGGTATCCTATGACATGCAGGGCTTCTTTCCTACAGAGATATTAACGCGAGAGGAAGTAAAAGGAAAAAAAAATAAAGAAGAAAAGGGAGGAGACAGCTGGGAAAAGGCAGAAATACCCTCAAAGCAGCAGTGAGGATGCAAGTAGATCAGTTAAAGGGAAGGCGCACAAGGCCTGGGGAGAAGGCTTGGGTCTCACCACCACACTGCTGAGACCTAGTGCTCTCAGTGACACCGTGACCCTGGATGACCCCTATAATTGTTCTCAGCCTCAGGCTCTTCCCCGGTAACACGAGCATGGTCCAGGCTGGCTTCCACACCCAGCTGATCAGTGTTACTCTGGTCCAGGTTTGGGAATGACCCTCCCTGAGAATCTGTGCCTCGGAGGGTGATGGGGTGAACAGGAAGATATGGGCTGCCAACAACAAGTGTTTGGGGGCCCCAAAGGCTCTTGCTTTGCTCTGAAATCTCTGAGAATAAATGAAATATAAGATGAGAAGGGCAAGGAGAACTTAATTTTTGTTGTTGTTGTTTTCAGAAGCACAATAGCAGAGTGAGAGGGCAATCCAGAAAGGCAATGGGTTTCAGTTCAGTTCAGTTCAGTTCAGTCGCTCAGTCGTTTCCAATTCTTTGCGACCCCATAAACTGCAGCACGCCAGGCCTCCCTGTCCATCACCAGCTCCCAGAGTTTACCCAAACTTATGTTCATTCGTCGGTGATACCATCCAACCATCTCATCCTCTGTCATCCCCTTCTCCTCCTGCCCATAATTGTTCCCAGCATCAGGGTCTTTTCCAATAAGTCAGCTCTTCCCATCGATGGCCAAAGTATTAGAGTTTCAGCTTCAACATCAGTCCTTCCAATGAATATTCAGGACTGATCTCCTTTAGGATGGACTGGTTGGATCTCCCTGCAGTCCAAGGGACTCTAAAGAGTCTTCTCGAACACCACAGTTCAAAAGCATCAATTCTTCAGCACTCACCTTTCTTTACAGTCCAACTCTCACATCCATACATGACCACTGGAAAAACCATAGCCTTGACTAGATGGACCTTTGTTGGCAAAGTAATGTCTCTGCTTTTTAATATGCTGTCTAGGTTGGTCATAACTTTCCTTTCAAGGAGCAAGCGTCTTTTAATTTCATGGCTGCAATCACCATCTGCAGTGATTTTGAAGCCCCCAAAAATAAAGTCAGCCACTGTTTCCACTATTTCGCCATCTATTTGCCATGAAGTGATGGGACCAGATGTCATGATCTTAGTTTTCTGAATGTTGAACTTTAAGCCAACTTTTTCACTCTCCTCTTTCACTTTCATCAAGAGGCGCTTTAGTTTTTCTTCACTTTCTGCCATAAGGGTGATGTCATAAGGGTGCGTATCTGAGGTCATGGACGTTTCTCCCAGCAATCTTGATTCCAGCTTGTGCTTCATCCAGTCCAGCATTTCTCATGATGTACTCTGCATATGAGTTAAATAAGCAGGGTGACAATATATAGCCTTGATGTACTCTTTTTCCTATTTGGAACCAGTATGTTGTTCCATGTCCAGTTCTAACTGTTGCTTCTTGACCTGCATACAGATTTCTCAAGAGGCAGGTCAGGTGGTCTGGTATTCCTGTCTCTTTCAAAATTCTCCACAGTTTGTTGTGATCCACACAGTCAAAGGCTTTGGCATAGTCAATAAAGCAGAAATAGATGTTTTTCTGGAACTCTCTTGCTTTTTCGATGATCCATTGGATGTTGGCAATTGATCTCTGGTTCCTCTGCCTTTCTAAAATCAGCTCAAACATCTGGAAGTTCACGGTTCATGTATTGCTGAAGCCTGGCTTGGAGAATTTTGAGTGTTACTTTGCTAGTGTGTGAGATGAGTGCAATTGTGTGGTAGTTTGAGCATTCTTTGGCACTACCTTTCTTTGGGATTGGAATGAAAACTGACCTTTTCCAGTCCCGTGACAACTGCTGAGTTTTCCAAATTTGCTGGCA